GAAGTTCCAAGTTGCACAGGAAAAAATGGATAGTTAGTGAGCCGAGAGGATACAAGCCAGTGACATAATAGCCAGAAATTCATAGAGTGGCGCAGGACTCCACCAGAGACTGCTCAGGTCTACACTGGGGGAGCAAAGAGGATGGAGAGGTGGTGGATTGAAGCAAAGGAGCTACAGAGGGAACAAGCAAAGAGGTGCTGCCCACCACCACCAGTGAACCATGGGGAGAGGTTGTGAGTCCAGAGCTGTGGATAGTGGCAGGCAGTAAAGCTTGGTTAACTGTGTTTGAAGCTCCAAGCAGGAAGAAGGAGAAATTGTAGAACAGGCAGAGAAATTGGGCACACCATGGTCTGTCTGCGTCTCCCCTCTACCCACAAATGGACCTATAACCGGGAGAGAGAAACCATATTGATAATTAACATTTTTGAGCATAAGCAGAGGGTTTCTGCATTTGCATCTCTCACACACACTCATCAATTGTGGGGTCCACCTCACAACATGGCCCACATGGGAACAAGCATCACAACATTTCAGAGTGATTTCTTCCACACTATACAACCAGAAGTAGTCCTGGTTGTACAACCAGGAGTAGTCCTAAACCTCGAAAACCCAACCTCATATTATGCACAAATGAGAAATGAGCTCAGCCCCCAGTAGGCAGGGCTTAGTGCATCAAAGCCCTGGTACCAATCTCCATCAGAATCTAGAAGTAAACAGGGCTCCAGGAGACAGGTCTGCATGATTTCACTTACATAAGCACATAGCAGCTAATAGCAGAGGGAAATCAATTAAAAATAAAATCAACCAGAAATGCTGAAGAATAACGGAAAAATATGGAATAAGAATAACGAAGATTCTATGAACTCACCAAAGGAACAATAAAAATCTTTAATAATGGAGGCTGATGAAGAAGAGATCAAGGATATGGCAGAAAAGGAATTCAGTAAATTAATAGTTCAGATTAATTAGAAGCAATCAGAAGCAAATTCATGATCTAAATGAAAAGTGCTCTCAAGAAATTCAGATTTTAAAGAGAAACCAGAATGAAATACTTGAAATGAAGAATTCAATAGAGCAAATAAAAAATGCAGTGTAAAGTCAGCAATAGATGAGACAGGATAAAGAATAACAGAACCAGAGGACAAACTTCTATAAATAATACATTCAGACCAAATACAAGAAGAAGAAATTAGAAAATTGAAAATCACAGTGGGAGATTGACAAGATTCTATCATTATCAAATGACCCAACTTATGGATCCTAGAAATTCCAGAAATTCTGGAAAAAGAGAAAGGATTAGAAGGTCTTCTTGGCCGGCGCCTCGGCTCACTAGGCTAATCCTCTGCCTTGAGGCGCCGGCACACCGGGTTCTAGTCCCGGTTGGGGCGCCAGATTCTGTCCCGGTTGTCCCTCTTCCAGGTCAGCTCTCTGCTGTGGCCAGGGAGTGCAGTGGAGGATGGCCCAAGTCCTTGGGCCCTGCACCCCATGGGAGACCAGGATAAGTACCTGGCTCCTACCATCGGATCAGCGCAGTGCACCGGCCGCAGCGCGTCAGCTGTGGCAGCCATTGGAGGGTGAACCAACGGCAAAGGACGACCTTTCTCTCTGTCTCTCTCTCTCACTGTCCACTCTGCCTGTCAAAAAAAAAATAAAAAAAATAAAAAACGGAGAAAAAAAAAAGAAGGCCTTCTTAGTGGAATAGTAATTGTTAAAAGAGATAAAGAAGGGCACTATGTAATGATTAAAGGGTCAATTCAACAGGAAGATATGACTATTATAAATATATATACACCTAATTACAGGGCACCTGGCTGTTGAAAAGATTCAAGGGTTTTGAAGGGAGTATAGACTCAAATATAATACTGATGAGAGACTTCAATACCCCACTTTTAGCAATGGATAGATCAACCAGACAGAAAGTCAACAAGGAAAAAACAGAGTTAATTGACACAATAGATCAAATAGACTTAGCAGATATCTTCAAAGACTTCTACCATACAGCCACAGAATACACATTTTTTTCTCCAATGAATGGAATTTTCTCTAGGATTGACCATACGCTAGGCCATAAAGTGAGTCTCAGCAAATTCATAAAAACTGAAATCATACATGCATCTTCTCAGACCACAATGCAATGAAGCTGCAAATCAACAGCTCAAGAATCTCTACATCATATGCAAACACATAGAGAATGAACAGCATATTTCTGAATGAGCAGCGTGTCATAAAAGAAATTAACAGAGAAATTTAAAAAATTCTGGAAAAAAATGATGACAACAATGCAAAATACCAAAATTTGTGGGATATAGCAAAAACAGTGTTAAGAGGAAAGTTTATAGAAATAGCTGCCTACATAAAGAAACTGGAAAGGCACCAAATAAATGAACTATCTATGTTCATCAAGGATTAAGAGAAACAACAGCAAACCAAAACCAAAACTAGTAGAAGAGAAGGAATAATTAAAATTAGAGAAGAAATCAACAAAATTGAAAGCATAGAAAGCATGTGACAAATACAACACCCTGTCATGATGAAAACTCTAAGCAAATTGGGTTTAGAAGGAACATTCCTCAACACAACAAATCTACTTTCTAACAAAACCACAACCAGCATCATACTGAATGGGGAAAAGTAAGCATTCCCATTGAGATCTGGTGCCAGACAGGGATGCCCACTCTCAGCACTGCTATTCAATATAGTCCTGGAAGTTTTAGCCAGTGCAATTAGGCAAGAAAAGGATATCAAAGGGATACAACTTGGGAATGAGGAAGTCAAATTATCCTTAACTGCAGATGACATAATTCTACATATAGGGGATTCAGCAGGCTCCTCTAGGAGACTATTGGAACTCATAGAAGAGTTTGGCAAAGTAGCAGGATATAAAATCAATGCACAAAAATCAATAGCCTGTGTATACAGAGACAATGCCATGGCTGAGAAAGAACTTCTAAAATTAATCCCAAACACAATAGCTACAAAAAAAAACACCTTGGAATAAATTTAACCAAGGATGTCAAAGATCTCTACAATGAGAATCATAAAACGTTAAAAAAAAAGAAATAGAAGAAGATACAAAAAAAAATGAAAATATCTTCCATGTTCATGGATTGGAAGAATCAATATCATCAAAATGTCCATTATTCTGAAAGCAATTTACAGACTCAATGTGATACCAATCCAAATACCAAAGACATTCTTCTCAGATCTAGGAAATATGATGCTGAAATTCATATGGAGGCACAGGAGAGCTCAAATAGTTAAAGCAATCCTGTAGAACAAAAACATAGCTGGAGGCATCACAATACCAGGTTTCAAGACATACTACAAGGCAGTTATAATCAAAACTGTCGTGTACTGGTAAAAAAAACAGATGGATATGCCGGCCCCACGGCTCACTAGGCTAATCCTCCGCCTTGTGGTGCCAGCACACCGGGTTCTACTCCCGGTCGGGGCGCCGGATTCTGTCCCGGTTGCCCCTCTTCCAGGCCAGCTCTCTGCTGTGGCCAGGGAGTGCAGTGGAGGATGGCCCAAGTTCTTGGGCCCTGCACCCCATGGGAGACCAGGATAAGTACCTGGCTCCTGCCATCGGATCAGCGCGGTGTGCTGGCTGCAGCACGCCGGCCACAACGGCCATTGGAGGGTGAACCAACAGAAAAAGGAAGAGCTTTCTCTCTGTCTCTCTCACTATCCACTCTGCCTGTCAAAAAATAAAATAAAAAAGAAAAAGAAAGAAAAATAGATGGATAGACCAGGGGAACAGAATAGAAACCACTTAATTCAATCCAAACAACTGCAACCAACTTATATTTGACCAAGGATCTATATCCAATCCCTGGAGCAATGATGGTCTCTTCAACAAATCGTACTGAGAAAATTGGATGTCCACATTCAAAAGTATGAAACAAGACCCATACCTTATACCTTATACAAAAATCCACTCAATATGAATTAAAGATCTTAATCTAAAACTTGACACCATCAAATTGATTGAGAACATTGGGGAAACCCTACAAAACATTGGCACAGGCAAAGAATTCCTGGAAAAGATCCAAGACACACAGGGAGTCAAAGCCAAAATTAACAAATGGGATTACTGCAAATTGAGAAGCTTCTGTAAGGCAAAGGAAACAGGAAAATGAAGAGACAACCAACACAATGGGATAAAATATTTGCAAATTATGCAACTGATAAAGGATTAATAACCAGAATCTACAAAGAAATCAAGAAACTCCACAACAACAAAACAAGCAACCCACTTAAGAGATGGGCCAAGGACTTAAACAGACACTTTTCAAAAGAGGAAATCCAAATGGCCAACGGACACATGAAAAAATGTTCAGGGTCACTAGCAATCAGGGAAATGCAAATTAAAACCACAATGAAGTTTAACCTCAGCCTGGTTAGAATGGCTCTTATACAGAAATTAACAAAGAACAAATGCTGGTGAGGACGTGGGTAAAAAGGTACCCAAATTCACTGTTGATGGGAATGCAAACTGGTAAAGCCACTATGGAAGACAGTCTGGAGATACCTCAAAAATCTGAAAATAGACCTACTATATGACCCAGCCATTCCACTCCTTGGAATTTACCCAAGGGAAATGAAATCAGGAAACAAAAGATTTCTCTGCACCTCCATGTTTATTTCAGCTCAATTAACAATAGCTAAGATATGGAATCAACCTAAGTGCCCATCAACCAAAGACTGGGTAAAGAAATTATGAGATATACAAATTATGGAATACTACACAGCAGTAAAAGAAATGAAATCCCATGATTTGCAACAAAATAAATTTTTTAAACTTTTATTTATTGAATATAAATTTCCAAAGTACAGCTTATGGATTACAATGGCTTTTCCCCCATAACTTCCCTCCCACCCACAACCCTCCCCTTTCCCGCTCCCTCTCCCCTTCCATTCACATCAAGATTCATTTTTTTTTTTTTGGACAGGCAGAGTGGACACTGAGAGAGAGAGAAAGAGAGAAAGGTCTTCCTTTGCCGTTGGTTCACCCTCCAATGGCCGCCGCGGCCAGCGCGCTGCGCTGATCCGATGGCAGGAGCCAGGTACTTCTCCTGGTCTCCCATGGGGTGCAGGGCCCAAGAACTTGGGCCATCCTCCACTGTACTCCCAGGCCATAGCAGAGAGCTGGCCTGGAAGAGGGGCAACTGGGACAGAATCCGGCGCCCCGACCGGGACTAGAACCTGGTGTGCTGGTGCCGCAAGGCGGAGGATTAGCCTAGAGAGCCGCAGCACCGGCCAAGATTCCTTTTCAATTCTCTTTATATACAGAAGATCAGTTTAGCATATGTTGAGTAAAGATTTCAACAGTTTGCACCCACATAGAAACACAAAGTGAAAAATACTGCTTGAGTACTAGTTATAGCATTAAATCACAATGTATAGCACATTAAGGACAGAGATCCTACATGAGGAGTAAGTGCACAGTGACTCCTGTTGTTGACTTAACAAATTGACACTCTTGTTTATGGCATCAGTAATCACCCTAGGCTCTTGTCATGAGTTGCCAAGGCTATGGAAGCCCCCTGAGTTCACTGACTTCGATCTTATTCAGACAAGGTCATAGTCAAAGTGGAAGTTCTCTCCTCCCTTCAGAGAAAGGCACCTCCTTCTTTGATGACCTGTTCCTTCCACTGGGATCTCACACACCGAGATCTTTCATTTAGGGTTGCTTTTTTGTTTGTTTGTTTGTTTTGCCAGAGTGTCTTGGCTTTCCATGCTTGAAATACTCTCATGGGCTTTTCAGCCAGATCCGCATGCCTTAAGGGCTGATTCTGAGGCCAGAGTGCTGTTTAGGACATCTGCCATTCTATGAGTCTGTATGTATCTTGCTTCCCATGTTGGATCATTCTCTCCCTTTTTTATTCTATCAGCTAGTATTTGCAGACACTAATCTTGTTTATGTGATCCCTTTGGCTTTTAGTCCTATCATTATGATCAATTGTGAGCAGAAATTGATCACGTGGACTAGTGACATGGCATTGGTACATGCCACCTTGATGGGATTGAATTTGGGGCAAGTCAGCTTGAGCATGTCCCGAATTGCACATCTGTTCCCTCTTTTACTCCCACTCTTATATTTAACAGGGATCACTTTTCAGTTAAGTTTCAACACTTAAGAATAACTGTATATTGATTACAGTATTCAACCAAAAGTATTAAGTAGAACAAACAAACAAAAATACTAAGAGGAATAACGTATTAAGTTGTTCATCAACAGTCATGGCAAGGGCTGATCAAGTCACCATTTCTGATAGTGTTCATTTCACTCTAACCGAACAAAATGGATTAATCTGGAAAACTTCATCTTAGTGTAATAAGTCACTCCCAAAGGGAGAAATACTATATGTTCTCCCTGATCTGTGAGAACTAGTAGAACTCCTAAAACAAAAACCATAGAAGTGAAACTGACACTTTTAGAAACAACAACTTGAAGAGCCCTCATCGAGGAACAGTTACTTTTATTTTTATTTCTCTTTAATTTTTTTTTCTTCATTCTATATGTTGAACTCTTAACATAGAGTTACTCATATATATATATATATATATATATATTTTATATCTCAATCTCAGTAAAAGAGGGGGAATAAGAGAGGGAGGAGGAAGTTTTTAACTGTTAAGATGTATAGTTATCCATACAGTCCTATGGACTTACTTCTTTTCCTTAAGATTTATTTTACTTATTTGAAAGAGTTATAGAGAGATGTAGAGACAAAGAGAGAGAGAATCTTCCATTTGCTGGTTTACTCCCCAAGTGGCCACAATGGCTGGAGCTACTCCAATCAGGAGCCAGGAGCTTCTACCAGGTCTCCCACATGGGTGCAGAGGCCCAAGGACTTAGGCCACCTTCTACGACTTTCCTAGGCATAGCAGAAAGCTGCATCAGAAGATGAGCAGCTGGGACTAGAACCAGTTACCATATGGGATGCTGGTGCTTCATTCCAGTGCTTTAACATGCTGTGTCACAGTGCAGGCCCCCAGGTATACTTCTAAGGGTACAGTTTAAAAAGTGCATAGGACTCCAAATCCCGTTAAAATAGGTGGTAAAAATCCCATCTTAATTTCAGTTGGAGGCAAGTGCTGTGGTGCATTAGGTTAAAGCCACTGCCTGCAGTGCTGACATCCCATATGGGCACCAGTTCCAGTCCCGGCTGCTCCACTTCCAAACCAGCTCTCTGCTATGGCCTGGGAAATCAGTAGAAGATGGCCCAAGTGCTTGGGTTCTTGTACACGTGTGGGAGACCCAGAAGAAGCTCCTGGCTCCTGGCTTTGGATCAGCTCATCTCTGGCCATTGTGGTCATTTGAGGAGTGAAACAGCAGATGAAAGACCTTTCTCTCTTTCTCTGGCTCTACCTCACTCTGTAACTTTGTCTTTCAAATAAATAAAATAAATTTTTAAAAAAATGTTAAAGGAACATATTATGTGTTAAAGTGAACATATAGATAGGATGAAGTGTTAAAGAAATCATATGAATAGCATCAAGTGCCTGGTAATAATAATAGAATTAAAAAGGAGGGAATGTCCAACATGAGAAGCAGTCCACACAGCAGACTTATAGAATGATAATCTCTTTAAGTAACACTCTGACCTCAGAATCAGTCCTTAAGGAATTTGGATATGTCTGAAAAGTCCATGAGAACATTTCAGGCATGGAAAGCCAAGACACTGTGTCAAAAAATATCCTACATGAAGGATCGCTGTGACCGTGACCCCATTAGAAAAAAAGGAGCCATCAAAAAAGATGTACTTTTCTCTGAAGGGAGGAGAGAACTTCCACTTTGTTTATGGCCTTGTCTAAATTCTGCCAAAGGTTGTGGTATTAAAAGCCTTCCATAGCCTTGGCAGCTCATGGCAAGAACCTTGGGTAATCACTGATGTCATAAATAAGAGTGTTAATTGTAAAATTAACAACAGAAGTCTCTGCATTTACTCCCCATGTAGGACCTCTGTCCTTAATGAGTTGTACTGAGAATTTTCTGTAAAACTTGATCTCAAACAGTACTTTATACGTTGTGTGTGGGGGATGCACACTGTTGAAATCTTTACGTAGTATAGAGTTGATCTTCTGTATATAAAGTTAATTTAAAAAAGAAAAAGTATGAGATTGAGGAAATAGGAGAGCAGGTTAGGGAGGTGGAGGTGGAGAGAGATACCCTTTCTACTAGTTTAATCCCGAAATACCCATAGCACCTGGGCTGGGCCAGGACAAGTCCAGGAGTTGAACTCCATCTGTGTCTCCCATGGCAGTCAGGAACCCAACTCTAGGCCACCATCTTCTGCATCCCAGGCACATTAGCAGGAAGCTGGATCAGAATATTTTAAAATTCCATCCCAGGCACTCCAATATGGGATGTGGTCATCCCAAGGGCAGCTTAACCCCTGCAAAATGCCCATCCCTGAATGGTATCACATTCTTAAGCACTGTACAGAATATTCATTATACTTTTTATAGAAATATAATTTATTTTACACTAATATCACACACTGCAACTTTGTTGAATTTATTAACTGAAATGGACTTTCAGTGAACTATTTAGTATTCTTTTATACTTAGGATTATATATTTGTCACAAAAAAAATCAAGTTTTATTCCTTGCTCTGCTGTCCAGAATCCTTTTCCCCGTTTTCACGTTACTTTTTTTCAGCAGAAACCTTACTTTTTTCAGCAGAAACCTACCTTATGACATTTAAAAGACATGCACAAGAAAATATTTGAGTCTTGTGGCCAACTATTTGGGGAAATCATTTTGCATTCCTCCATTATATGCAGTGTTTACTGTAGGCTTTCCTTAGGTGTTCTTTTTAAGATTTTGATATTGTATACATTTTGAATGAAAGGAAAGAAACAGGGACAACCAGAGGAAAGAGAAAAAGTGATTTACACACAGAGATCTCTCCCATATGCTGATTTCCATAACAGATCCTTGCAATATCCAGAGCTGAGTCAAGGCCAGAGCCAGGACATGGGAACTCAGTGTAGCTCTCCCAGATGGGTGGCACGAACTCAAACACTTGAGACGTCACCATTACTTCCCAGGATCTGCATTAGGAGGAAGTCAGGAAATAGAACCTGAAATTGAACCCTTGCACTCTGATACAGAACTTGGGATTTCCTACATGTATGTGAATTACTAGACTCATTCCTGCTCCCCACAGGTGATTTTTATCTAGTTGTGGAAATTTCCTTCACATCTTAGTTTGTTTAGGGTTTTAATTATTAATGGATGGTGGATTCAGCCAGATGATTTTTCTTTTAAGATGATCACATGCTCTTTAACTTCACATTGTGTTTTTTCTTAATATGCATTATTTTCTGTTTTTCTTTCTTTCTGAGATACTATTTTCCAAGAACTTTTTGAGGACCCCTCATATAAGCAAATTCATTTTATTTAGCACCAAGATTTTTATTAATTAATATTTATGTTAATTAATATGATTCTTGCAGCAATTTTGATAAATTTTATTCTTGTAGGTTTTTGGTCATATTCCATGTTTCTGAATTTTCATGGAAGTTGTGGGAAAAATAAAGTGAAAGAAGAATGCACTGGGCAATCTGCCATCACACTCTATTTCAGTTTATTCTGATGTACCACGCAGAAAATAATTAACTGCTCTATGTGCTATTCAGTTATTTTATGAGACAAATGAAATATTGTGTGTAATGTAAACTGATATATTGTGCCATTTGACTTTAGGTTTTACCAACATGACAAACTGAGTGTACATTCTCTTTTGTGTCAAAATTTAGATAATGGACATTAAAATAAGAAAAAACATAACATTGTATGAAGAAGAACATAAACATGTTGATCTGATGAACCAATGCTTAAATCTAATATGTTACACAGCATCCCATTTACATGTATTTATATGTAAGCACATAGTATTTTAAATGGATAAAATATCAGGGTGCATAGGTTAAACCACTGCTTGGGCCCCTCACATTCTATGTGGAGTGCTTTTAGACCAAGTCCTACTTTGCTTCCTACCTAGCTTCTTACTAATGCACACCCTGTTAGGTGGAAGATGAGGACTCAAGTACT